TAAATAAAGTATAATCTTTGCTCTTTCATTAACTTTATAACGAACTACTACAGTGAAGTAATATTCTACTTGGACACCGTTGAGAGCCTCTCTTCCGTGTCTTATATTACTTGTGTTGAATTAAGAAGGCCGACACTTGTAACAATATGATCAATCTAATAAGTACTTTTCTATACTTGTTAACCTTTTGGTCCTATTTTTTTTCGACCACCTTTGACAGTATAACTATACTAATTACCTAGTATTGCATTAATAAATTTTATTGTAGCATTGAGATTAGGCAATCCTTTAGCTCTAGTTTTAAAACTGAAAAATAATAATACATCTTCTTGAATTTTAATAATTTTTTCCTGTAATTGTTTGAAAGCTTTTATCATATCATTACTAGAAAGAATATTCATATTATCTATATCTCTAAAACCTATCGATTGGACAAGATTATATATCACCTTCTATTGTTTTACTGAATAAAATTTATGTAAATCAACTGAAGACAGATTCATAAAATCATATGAATCTTCCCATTGCATTTCTTCTTTGATTTTCAGATTCTTTATAGAATTAGTTGTATTAGAACCTTGTCTTCTGAAATATGCCAGCTTCCTAAAATATTGTAAAGATTTAGGATTATTATATATTTTTACAAAATCTACATCACAAAGTTTAATCTAATCATCATTGTTCATACCTCAGTTCCAAATATCATTCTTGTTACTAATATCACCTGAAGCATGTGTTTTCTATAAATAATAATGTTGTAGAGCAATATTATCAGTGAAAGAGCATATAGGATTTTGCTTAAGAATTTCAGCTTTATCAGGAGTAATATCAGATGCATTTGCTATTAATTCTGCATTCTCATCTTTAATTTTTTTCTCAGTATTCTTAATAGTATAAGAAATTACATTCCTCTTAACTTTTTTAGTATCTTCTGCTGAAATTAACTCGAGTGTTGCACCAGTACTAGCAATGAGACTGCAAAGAATCTCAAAAAAATATTTGGCAGATAAGCATTTCTAATATTAAACCTTAATATAAGTTTTAACTGCTAGTAGTCAGTTAATAATATAACAATCAGCAATTTTGTCCTATTCATGATGTCTTTTTATAGCAGTTAGTAAATCTCTAGGTCTCAAAGCAGAGAGTTTAGCATGAATGAGATCACAATTAGGTTCTTTGAAGATACTAGTTTTTTTACTATTATAAAGAGAAATAGTATAATGTGAGCAATCATGTACTTGATAAAATATTTGTGCAAAAGCTTCAGCATGTATTCCTGTATTAATATTGCTTATTCCTATAACTGAATCAAAATGATTAGAAATTTTAAAAAAAATACCAGCTTCCACAGTACTTGTATAAACTACACAATTAAGACCACTTTAAGTAGTATTAATATCAGCAAAGTCTTCTTGATACTGTTTCCTATCTATTTGACCAAAATAAATTTGGAATAAAACATATGAACCATCTGGTTTTAATAACTTAGAAGCTTAAACAGCTATAGCTCTAGCTTTTTTATATGAGGTAACTGAAAAAGCAACACGCTTACCTTCTTGAAGCAACTTAAGACCTTTATATATAGCTTTTGATCCTTTATCTAGTCATAAAGAATTTTTACAGACTTACCTTTATGTAGCTGATACTTATTATCAAAAACTCATATATCTTCATCTCGATATTGTCTTAAGAAGTTTAAAGTAGATTCATTTGCAAAAGCATCCATAGCTAGAACATGTATAGCTAATTTCAACAAATCCTGCATAGTATTTTCAGATTCTCATATATAGATTCTACTTGCTATTTGACATATAATACTATTTATTTTATCTAAAATAACTACATGAGAATGACCTCCATAAAAATTAAGATGATGTGTACTTTTGACCTGAACAATAATAACATTCCAATCATATATAGCTAAATTATCTTTATTTTTCTGATAATAGCATATATAAAGTCTAGATTTCTGTAATACTTCGATTTTACTTTTAGTTTCATTACTAAGAGTTTTACAGTATGAAACCTAGTTAAAACAAGGTAAATTTGCTTTACTTTTATCTAAAGAATTAAGAATCTCTCTTAAGATTTTTGTTTTTCTAATGCAACAAGTGAGCGAATTAGAGTTGTAGTAGATTTTTCACTTATGAAATCTGAATAAGCTTCTGAGACATTCTCTATTTCCTTAACATTAATATTATTTTCAGATAATTTTATGAGTAGGCATAGATGTTTTACAGCCTTGGACAATCTTTTAATTAATTCCTACTTCTTAAATTTCACTTCTGATTCAACTTTATCTGATACCTTATTGAAGCTAAAGCTTTTATGATTTGGCTTGTATTGTTTTTAGCAATAACATTTAAGTACAAAATCTCTATTTTTTCAAATAAACCTATAGAATTAGTCTTTTTTATGTTTAATATCATATATAGGGCATTCTTTAATAAATTGTGTTTAAAAGTTGATAAATCCCTTCTTGATTTTTCTAATCTGAAGCTACCTATAATTTGCAATAACTAAATTGGCTCCTTTAACCAAGACATTATCATTGTTAATAGGTTAGTATTTCTTTTTTGCTAGCCTCTTTTCTGAAAAGGTTTATGGCCAGATTACAGAATAATTTTCTTTAGGCTGAACTAGGTAATTATCTAAATTTTTAAATCCTTTATTTGCAGAAGAGATAGCAGATCTTTTTATACATCCTTCTTTTGCTGGTCCAAGAAGTCGAAGACTAAAACATAATTTGAAAAGGCTAATATCAATGAATTTGATATAAGGTTCTCTAACTAATTCTATAACTTTTTCTGTAAAACTCTTGAGTTCTTTATAATCTACAAATTGGATACAAGGATAAATAATATACTAGCTGCATTTATTAGTATTCGATAAATTTGCTAATGCAAAAGAATTTAAGAAAGACATGCATCCTAGTATAAGACTTAATGTATCTGTATAAGCTACTAAAATTCGAGATATCAAATCTTTACAATTAATTTTTTCATTAACTAGAGAAGAAAGTTTAAGATTAAAAGAATCAGACTTTTGCCTCATATCAATATTGATTACTAAATGAAGGAGTTGATTTCTATTAATATATTTATGGGTATCAGGTATTTTATAAACTTCAGAAGGATAATTAATCACTATATAGCCTTTTTTTGCTACTCAAACTATATATTGAGAATAGATCTCTTTGAGTTAATATGCATCTAAAAGCACAGTATCATTTTTATCAGCTAAGCTAGCATGATTATTAGATGCAAGCTAGTATTTATAAAATATATTGTTATCAAATGAGTTTTAGTAATTTTATCTTTATAATTATATTCATTAATTAGTTATTTTTATTTGTATTTTATGAATTATTTTATAAGTTAGCAATATCTTTAACTAGCGTTATTAGAATCAGAATAGTCTCGTGATCATAACGAGCTATAATTTGTA